TGAGCGCGTAGGAGGGAAGGACCCCCCCCCCGCCATTAAAAGACGCCCCGAGGCCGCGGGGCCCTGCCATGGCAGAAAATCCGAACCACGGTGACCACCCACATATCCAAGAGGGAACCGGAGATAGTGAGAATCACCGGGGCCTTCCTAGGCCTCGGCCCACCCAATCCTCTGGCAGCCGTTTGGGGGCCGCCGGACTCCGAGTTCCTGAGGACCGGGTACCGAGAGGTCCAGGAAACCCCGAGATACTATCCCAGAATCCAGGCGGAAACCCGCCAGGAGACTCAGGATCAGTACAGGCAGGCGGCCAGGCCCGAGGCGGACACAACGCCCAGAGGGTAGAAGCATCGAGAGTAGCCGGCTCGGTCATTTCGACAGAAGAAGCACGCGCCATCATGGAACGTATGGCCAGCCTAGAGCAAAAACTGACGGGGGACGTGGCGGGCCTAAAAAAGAATATAGGTCGTGTGGCTGAGGTGGCAAATGTCGATATCACGCCCAGCCGCACACATGACCATCCATTTATCGAAGAAATAATGGCGCCCCCTCTCCTCGATAAATACAGGTCACCGTCGATCCCACCGTATGATGGGCGAGGAGATCCCGACGACCATTTGGAGATGTACACAGGGCACATGCTCTTGCACGGTTATGCCGAGGAGATCATGTGCCGAGCCTTTCAAAACCATTTGACGGATTCTGCCCAAAGATGGTTCCGGACACTAAGGCCAAACTCTATCTCGAGCTGGGACGAGTTGAAGGAAGCGTTTTCCCTCCAATTCATAGGGGTCAAAAAGTACGTCCCCCCAAAGCAGAATCTGACGACGATATACCAAAAGCTGAACGAGTCACTGGGAATGACTCGCGAGATATGGGGAAGCTGTCGCCGCCACGATGGATATAACGGATAGAGAGGCCTTGATGGGGGCCTTATCTAGCATGAAGAAAATCACCCTATTCAAAAGAGAGCTGAACCGGAAACCTCTGTCCAGCTACAGGGAGTTTTTGGCGCGAGCGCAGGGGTACATCAACGCCGAAGAGGCAGACGCAAACGACCCCGAGCATAGGTCCAACAAGAATAAAGGAACTGAACAAGGGTCGACGCCTGTGAAACAGGATAGGAAGAAGCGTCGAGGTGGAGGAAACGGAGACAAGCAGCCCGCCGCAATGACAAGCGCTCCAGAAGCCAAGAAGCTGAGGCAAGAGGATACCCGTAAGCCTCGACTGTTCAAAAAATACGATTCCTACCACGAGCTAACGGTAGGAGTCGAGGAGGTCTTCAATCAGGTCGGCCGCGGGAACGTGCTACGCCGACCGGAATCGATGAAGTCAGATCCCAGCCGAAGGAACCAGAAGAAATTTTGTAGGTTCCACGGTGATGTTGGCCACCACACCAACGATTGCGCTAACCTCAAGGACGAAATCGAAAGAGTGATCTGCTAGGGAAGGTTACAAGAGTTCAGGGCCGAGCGGAGACCTCGCAACGACGGCCACGGTGGATAAAATGACGGTCGGCGCCGAGAGGATAACTAACGTCCAGAGGATCGCGAACCCGTCGGCGTCATACGGACTGTCCTCGGCGGTCCTTATATAGGAGGAGACTCAAGGAGGTCTCAGAAGGACTATGCCCACGAGGCCAGGGGGTTTATCAAGAGCGATTCTGGAGCATCTCCGCTGCAAAAACCCCAAGGTACAGTCACACCGACGTGGCCTTTAACGAGGATGACGCCAGTGGGGTTCATTTCCCCCACAACGACGCCTTAGTGGGGGAAGCCATGACAGGAAACCACACCGTGTGCAGAATCCTGGTAGACAATGGGAGCTCGGTGGACCTCCTATACTCCAACTGCTTGGAGAAAATGGGGATCCAAAAGGAACAATTGGAAAAAACCTCCAGGCCGCTATATGGTTTCACTGGGGACTCCGTCATTCCCCAGGGGACCATTCGGTTGCCTATAACCGCTGGAGAAAAACCCCGACAGGCTACCACAATGGCCGACTTTGTGGTTATAAAAGGAGGGTCCCAA